ACGAGAGGCCATACTGGGCTGAGCTTTTTGGTACGTTAAAAGAAGTTCCTGTCAGCTCTGTGGTAAAGATGTTCAAAAACAGAAGTGTAAAGGAGAAAGAAACAAGGATAAAATATGCCTCCCTTGCACTCCTTGCTTCTGTCGTTCTCCCGATAACCCATACACATCGGATTTCACATGAACATACAAAGAAGATAAAAGATTTGGATGCGTTTCTTGCCTATCCATGGGGTCGGGTATCGTTTAATTTACTTACTAGCAGTATGAAAAAGAGCAACGAAGTGTTTCTATCCCAAAACACCATTGCTTGAAAAGGGATTTGTTCTAGCTTTACAACTTGTAATGGTTGAAACTGTGCCTGCTCTAACGGAAGTAGTTCATGAAGGAGGGTTGTCTGGATCTAAGAGCGATTTTTCAGATGATGAAGAACTTGGAGATGATGAAAGAATAGGGAAGCGAAGTATTAGTCATGTCCATGCTCGTGAGAAAGACATTGTTGGAAAGGTGAAGTGCTACGAAATTATCATATTGTTTTCATAATTTGGTTATAGACAAATTAGAGTTTGTTTCAATTGAAAGTACAGGCATGTGTTATGTCAATTATTTCTAATGTCAACGAGGATATCAATTGCGAAGAACAGTTTGGTTGGTCCGATGAAGAAGAAGATGATCGTGTCGAGATACTAGTTAAATATATTGAATAATATTTTCCATTCAATCATACAACGTTTACTGGGGGAGCCTCAAAAACCGATGTTGTGAGAATGCGGGAAGAAACAAGAAGTGAAGCAGAGGTCAAAAAAAACAACAAAACAAAAATTGAACCAAAGTACCTGCGATGTGGCTGACGCAGAATCTATTGCGGCTTGTGTAAAGTGTTGTTTATCAGGAGATTTTACTCGTCTGTCAAGAGATTTGAGGAGTCTATCAGACGAGGTTAAGCGTCTATCAGGAGATATTTCCAATATTGCAACACATATGAAGATATTTGGAGATGCGTATTCTAGTCTGCAAACCACTGTTCTTTCCAATATACAAGATATGTTGAAGACATTTAAAGAAGACCATCCCCTGCCACGACTATGGAAGATGTCTCAGACCATGTAGTCGTTAACTCTTGTAACCAAACTACTGGGGCTTCTAAGAGTGCGGATGTTCCGGCAGAAATGATCTTTCCCATATGGGTGATGGCACTGAAGCACCAACTGCAGCTAATGATGTAAGTTTCTCTGCATTCCATACACGTAAATAAAGATATTGATTGGCAAATCATTTGCAAGTCAAAATGTGTACAGAGGTGCCGAACCATGACGACAAGGTTGCAAAAGGATTTGTGAGTCAACCCTCAGCAGTTACAGATTGTCCACTTGATTCTGATAAGATTGTAGAGAGTGCAATGTGTTTCGCAGAGAAAGGTGGCACTTCAGTTTCGAAGGTTTGGTGTCTATAATATAGTAAACGAAATTTTTCAAAGTTATAAGTGTAAGAGAATAATTAGGTATTATGTGCAGAGTCTGGAAGCTGGTGGACTGTTTGAAAATCCCAAATTTTCGCAAGGCTTGACTGAGGAAGAGGTGGACAACGGAAATAGAGGATCTGATGTTGTAATTGATGAAGCTGTTGACGTAGGTTTGACCAGAAAAAGCAAGCTTCAGAAGGTAGTTCCAAAGGCATTAGTGGGTGAGTACGAATGTGACAAGAAATTTCTCAGTAGAGCTTGGGAAGGACATGTTGCTCGCTTTCGTTCTGGTGATCACATTGAAGAAGCTGCAAAATATTGCAAAGTCATTGAGATGCTGAAAACCCCATTGTAAGTTTGTTACATTAGACAAGTCTTTACCTGTTTAACCCGTAATGCAACGTAGTTACCAACACTCACTACAAGAAAATGATGTTATTGTGACTAAATTTTTATACAAAAAATATATGTCACAAATTTATGACATTTTAGATACGTTATAGTGACCAAATTCTTGTGTCACAAATGAGTAGCTTTTTCGACACAATATTGTGATGATTCAAATTGTATCTAAGTTTTGTCGCAATCAATGACAAAATTGTGACAAATTAACAATTGTAACATCTGTTACCATATTATGACTGTATGTTTCGTCACTCTTAATTACGAACTTGTGATAGAAAAGTTAGTTTTACTTTGTGAAGGTATAATCACAAAATAATAGTTTCTAACTGGCACATGTCGTAGATGAATTTTTTTTGTAATAAACTTCTATTCAAAGATGTAAGAAATCCATGAAATATTTAGAAATTGATTCAGTAATGTTTAGATGGTCGAATGTTTTTTATATGCCCATATATATATAAACCTGAAAGATTTTCAAAAAAAAAACTTTTTCTCATACTCATTGAAAATATGGATGTAAATGTTATATATCATTTTAAGATAAGTTTTAAATTATGTATAAACTAAAATTCTATTGTTTATGTAAATCAGTTTAGACAAAGAACAATACATATAATATTTATTGTATTAGATAGAAGATTATATGTAAAAATGAAAAACAATCTAAAATATCAACTACATCTATTAAATGGGTAATATACAAGGTAAAGATACTTTTCTGAATCCACCCGTATCTCTATCTTAAGCCGGAACTCGTAGACTAATTAGAGGCTTAGAGCCCATTAACCTAGAAACCCTAAATGTAAAGTGGATATACGCGTGTATATATTCCCTCCAAAAGAAAAGCCGTAGCGGCACCTTATGAAGAGCGAGAGCGGAAAAATGGGAAAGCGTGAGAGATTTGTTTTGACGGTGTTGTCACCACTAGTTGTTGTTTCCGATGCTTTGGTGGTATGAAAATCTAAAGGTTGAAGACAGCAGGGGTGAAGCAGATTTGAGTCATTGGTGATAAACCATAGACGAAGAAGCCAGTTACGAAATGGACACCAATAGAGAATCAGGAGTTGTGTCATTACCAGAGTTTATAAACCTTAGCAGTCGTACCTTTCGCTTCCTGTGCAAGAATCAACCCAAGAAGAAGCCCTTTATCATGAATCAGAATTTTTTTTTTCTCAACTGGAGATCGCTTAACTGAATGTAATCGCATATTAGAATATTCTTTTATTTCTGTTTATTATTTTTTTTTAAGTTATAAGTTTATTTTGGTATTGTTTTCATTATTATGTATTTAAACTACAAATTATGCATCAATATAGTGATCAACGTTTATTTTTTTTTGAGATGGCAAATTAATAATTATTTATGCAAAAAAATTGATGATAATAAATTATCGATGAAATATAAAAGTCAATATGAATTTGTGACAATTATTTAGTAATAAAATATTACAAAGTTTATGGCCACAAAAAGTCCCAATGATAATGGATTAGTAATGATCTTTTGTAACTTTTTGCGACAAGTTAAAACTTTATTTTAGTGGTAACTAGAGACGAAATTAAGACGTGTTGACAGTCACGTAATATGACAATTTTGTGATGTTAATTGTAGTTGGTAATTGTAACGTTTTTCTTACTTTTGTAAATAGTTGCTATCTGTGACGGAAAAGTTACAATATATATCGTCATAAACACAGTGACGTTTTTTGTTACCAACAAAATTTGTGACGATCATATTGTCACCGTTTTGAGATCGTCACAAACTGGTCACAATATTTTTATTGTTACGAATTATTCTTTATTGTGACAAAAAAAATTGTAACAATATGACGATTTTTTTGTAGTGACTTGTTATAGTTTTCTGTCAGTTCCTTCAACGTTAACAACAATAAGATTGAAAGGAAAGATTTGGCTCTACTGGTGGAGAAGTCAGCACATCTACCACCCAAGGTTTGTTTTCTATATTTATAAATATAATTCTTTAACAGAAGCTAAATGGAGTGGAAGGAGGTGGATGATATGAGACTTTATCTTGGTGTTTTTGTAGCTTCTTGATGTGCTTATTCAACAAATTCGATCTGTATATGACTCTCGTTGGATCAGATACGAACAAATTAGGCCGTTTTTTGGGACACGAATTTGTATCTCAGTTGTCAAAGACTTATGGTAGGTTCTCAAAGATGGGTAAAAAGGAGAGTTTTAAGTTCACTGCTACATTGTTAGAAAGTTTTAATGCAGGTAGCCTACCATCGACACTGCATCGAAATTTTACTTCCCTTTTAATTTCGGTAAGACACATTGGGTTGGTGTCTGCATTGATCCCACAAGTTCCTAGCTTCAAGTTTTGGACTGCAACATCTCTAAACACAGCAATTCAATGATGTCTAAATAGTTGGACCATATAGCTGCAATGTTTCCATATTTTCTCAGACAAGCTGGTAAACTGAATTGCTTGCGAGATTTGAAGGCTCTAGCCATTGAGAGACCATGTACTGTTCCGCAGATCCAGAATCTGTTCTACGCGGGTGTAACGGCGGTTGTCCTTATCCAAGCTCATGCTTTTGGTGGTGTTGAACTCTGCAAAAACATAACCTCCACCATTGTTGATTCGGAGATTGAACGGCTCGCAGTCAGCATCGTTGAGTGTAATCATGGAATCATTTGAACTTCTTTCTACTTTTTCACTTTCTCATTGTCTTCTGGATGTAAGGAGATATGTGTTTGTTGTTGTTTTGTTCTTCTAAACCTTATGTTTTATTAACATTTAAGACTCGGTAATGTGTTTCATATTTTTTGTTGCATTGTCTTTTTAGCCGGCCAATTATTTGATGACTCATTTAGCCCACTATCATTAACCAAAATTTATATGCTCAAATGCTGTTTGGTTTAATGGGCTAAAAGACAAAAAAATTGTTGGGCCTAAAGACGACTCTACTGTCTTTTTCTCCCTACATCTTCTTCCTTTCTTCTTCACAAGTAAAATAAGGGATTGACACACAGTTGAAGTCAGAATTAGGCGTACAATACCAAAAAACCAGGAGAGATATGTCTTTGTCAGGAATGCCAAGTTCATTCATAAAGTCTGGTATGTGTATGATAATATGATGAACTTTTTTATATTCGCAGTGGCTAAACTAATAATGCTTCGGGGAGGAAGTTCCAAACGCCGTCGTGGACGTCGGGATAAGGCTTTTCCTAAATATTGCAGGTGTGGGGCTGAGGCGGTTATAAAGACGTCTGGAACGGTTAAGAACTCTGGAAGGCTCTTCCATTGTTGTCCTTATGGATCTGAAGAGGTAAAATTAGATATGTTATAAAGATTTGTAGCCGTCGGTTTTTCTTTTAACTTCAATGGAGGCCGGGGTGTCGTTCGACTGTGCAGAAAAAAAATCCCATCTATTTACCTGGACCGATGAATGTATGGTGGAAGAAATTGAAGATTTAAAGGATTTCGTGAGTGATGTGAAAGGGGAAATATCTATTTTGCGCGGTGAAATTGATGGTTTGGAGAAAGAGCTCGAACGGTCTAAGCTTAAGATTCAATCGGAGATAAAGGGGAATGGTTGTTGTGTTCTTATGTAAGATTTTCAGTTAATTTCCCAGTCATTTTGTCTTGTTCGATTATCTTTTCATTTCGCTTTTGTATTTCTTTGATGTTATGTGGTCTTGTGTGTATGACAATTTCAACAACTAGGTTAACATTTGTACATGTACGGTTACCGTAACTTGATCCCCGTCTACAATATAACCATAAACGGATAATGGGTCTATGGTTTAAATTTCATATTATTATTATCTGTTAGCAAGTTAATTATCGACATAGACAGCTATATATTTTATTGGCCGGCTACGAACTGATTGTCGACAGATTTACCGAACCTCTTACACTCTCTTATTAACGGCCGAGACGTTTGGTTTACTGAGAGGTGCATTTTTATAGTTCAATATTAGACATTACGTTTAGTTGTTGTCCATTTAATATTCGGTCTCTCGATTTAGGGTTTACGGTTTCATGTATTGGGTTTAGGGTTTATTATTTAGGGTTTAGGGTTTATATTTTAGGGTTTATTATTTAAGGTTTAGGGTTTACAGTTTACCGTTTAGGGTTTAGGGTTTAGTATTATGGTATCGGTTTAGGTTTTTGTTCGTATTCTTATCAGCTAGAAGGTTAATTTATCTACTTACACGGCTATATATTTGATTGGACGGCTATAAACTGATTGTACACAGATTTACAGAACCTCTTCCACACTCTTATTAACGGACAAGACGTTTGGTTTACTGGAAGTTGCATTTTTATAGTTCAATATTAGACATTACGTTTCCTTGTTGTCCATATAATCATCGGTTTTTCAATTAATAGTTTCAAAATTGGGGTTTAGGGTTTAAGGTTTGGGGTTTATTATCTAGGGTTTACGTTTAGGGTTTAGAGTTTACCGTTTAGGGTTCAGGGTTTAGTAAAATGGTTTAGGTTTTAGGGTTTAGGATTTTTGGTTTAGGGTTTACCGTTTACGGTCCAGGGTTTAGTATTATGGTTTAGGATTTAGTAAAATGGTTTAGGGATTAGGGTTTTTTCGTCTTCTTATCAGTTAGCCGGTTAATTATCTACTTACACAGCTATATATATTATTGGACGGCTACAAACTAATTGTAGAGAGATTTACAAAACCTCTTACACACTCTTATTAATGGACAAGACGTTTGGTTTACTGGAAGTTGTATTTTGATAGTTCAATATTAGACATTACTTTTCCTTGTTGTCCATATAATTATTGGTTTTCCGATTTATCGTTTCAAAATTGGGGTTTAGGGTATTCTGTTTAAGATTTAGGGTTTATTATCTAGGGTTTAGTGTTTATGGTTTATGGTTTAGGGTTTAGGGTTTATCTGATACCAGTTAGCAGGCTAACCATCTACTTAGCCAGCTTTATATTTTATTGGCCGGCTAGATAGTAATTGTAGACAGATTTACAGAACCTCTTATCTGAGTTATTAACGGACGAGACGTTTGGTTTACTGGCAGGTGCATTTTTATAGTTCAATATTAGACATTACGTTTCCTTGTTGTCCATATAATTTTTGGTTTTCCGATTTATAGTTTCCCTATTGAGATTAGGGTTTACGCTTTCCTGTTTTGGGTTTACCGTTTATTATTTAGGGTTTAGGGTTTATTATGTACGGTTTAGGGTTTAGAGTTTTGGATTTTGGGTTTAGGATTTAGGGTTTAGTCTTAACTTTTAGTATTATGGTTTACGGTTCATGGCTTACGTATTTAGGGTTTTGCTTTTCTTTTTCGTATTATTATATGTTAGCAGGTTAATTATCTATTTAGACAGCTATATATGTTTTTGGCCGGCTACAAAATGGTTACACCATCATTTACATAAAAGAGGGAATTGATTAATATAAGTACAACCATAACCCGACATACATTAGATGGATTATGTTTACATAAATATTTTACAGTACCACTACCCTTATTCTTCCATCTTTAATCCTCCTTCGATACGTACAGCTTGCCCATAGTTCCACCTTCGTTACATACAACTTTCCCTAGCCCACAACTCCCCCAAACCCCACGCTTAACTTTTTATATTGGTTCCTTGCAGGTAGCTTTGTTGTGACCCAACTTCTTGCACCTGCTACAAGCTGTCTTGCGGCGCATTCCTTTCCTGTGCGTTAAATGTTAATTTAAATTAGCTACCAGTTACACAGCAAATATGGTTAATTTCTGATTTAGGGGAACAAACTTTGCAAGCTGGTTAAAGAACGACTCCCATGGCAAGTCATTCTCTCCATCAACAATAGCAAATGACAAGGGAAATATCTGGTAATTTCCATCTTGGACTGATGCAGTCAGTAAACTTCCACCGATGCCTTTAAGGTGAGTCCCATCAATAACTACAACTTTCCTCATGTACTCGTACCCCTTGATTGAAGCGTCGAATGCTACAAATAAATATTTTAAACGGTGGCCACCATCTTCGTGGGGTACTGTGAAAAGTTCCACAATTGTACCAGGATTAAACGTTACGAGCTTGTTAAGGTAGTGGAGGAGCTTCGCGTAACCACTGACATCCGATTCTTTGGTATTGTCCATTGCAACATCTCTAGAACGCCAAGCCTTCCAGTACGATTATTGACATCTAGGTATCCTCGCATCATTTGACGGATCTCTCTAGGTTTAGGCCCTGGTCCAGACGCCCCAAGCTTGTTTCTAAGAACTCACTAATGACAGCCGATGTAGCTTGGGTTTGGTATCGACCATGGTCGTCTATTGAACATAGATGTTTTGGCACAACCTTGCGGATTTCAAAGACCTCAGCTTCCTTCAACTTGACCGCATATACTCGCCATGGGCATGTTGGGCTGCAACATTCTAGTGACATCAACCCGGGTTTCAACTTAACGCACCTAAACTGGAACTTATGACTTATGGCATATACAGCCATATGTTGCCTGAATGCATCTCTCGATCTAAAAAGCATTCCGACGGCAAGTTCTTCATCATTGATCCCAACTTCTCCGTGCATCAGTTCTATTATTAAAATATATCACATTTCAAAGTTAATATAAAGAAATATATTTGTGTAGCATCACTGAAACATGACATAGCTAAATTTCATGTGCCCTTAACATATAGATGCATCACTGCGATAGGTTGTTTTCCTTTTCGTCTCTTAGTAACAATATAATTTTCTTATTGCATTTCATTTAGCAAACAGAAACTAAAAAATTGTTTTCAACAAACATAAACCATCTTTTATATTATACATTAACTTCCTTTACAAATAAGTTTTGCACCCCCAAATTATGACCACATTACAAGATGCATAACTTTAACTTAGCCGGCCATAACTGAACACTCCCTCTTACACAAACAAAATAACTGACTAACAAGAAATTTTTGCCCCTTCCCCAAAATACGACATAGGGTTAACTTCCTGTGTCCTAAACCAATTTTACACAGTCAAACAAATTTCTCCCTTTCAGATCAAACATTATAAAACATAACCGACTATCGTTTTTAACATCTAAGATCTTATGTAATTCAAAACCCACCATTGAAAACGCTTGCTTCCGAGGACGTCTCATCTTCGCGCTTGACTTTCTTTCCCTCCCCACATGGCTCACCTTGGATTAACTTAAATAGTGGAGGAGTATGATGTGCAGGGGTTAAGTAAACCAGGGATGAAGATAACACGTGGGTCCCTTGTCCTCCACTAGTTGCATTCATGCCTTCAACTTCACGTCCTATATGAACTATTTGATAAAATTAAGATCCAACAATGAATCAAAAACCATCCCTTTATAACAAGTGAGAAAATGCAAAGATGACAATACAAGCTTCACCTATCTCCATAGATTCTCCAACAATCCCTTTTATCAAAAGGAACCGCACTGATGAGAGCACCCACAACATCAGCATCATTTCCCCCATCAATCTCATACTGGGAACAAGGAATTTCGGTGTATCCAGTAGAGAATCCCGCTCCCTCAACTTCTTTCATATCGTTTACACCCACAACGGGTTCAACAGATTCCAGGAGAGCATTTTGTGTGTTGTCAGCAAGGGTTTCACCGCGTCTACATTCTCCATCTCAACCTTAACATGATCATTTATATTTAAATGTGGATCAACATGCATACCTGCAGCTATAACTCCTTCCGAAAACCTCATGTCATTAACCATAGCATCATGCTTGTGTTTCCGGGTTATGGTGAGATAGGACGTTTGTAGCTTCAGGGTTATACATGCATGTACTGACACGATAAGTTGCTATGTTAAAATTTAACAACAAAGATTAGTACAAACATTTCTAGCTTCAAGAGTCACACAAAAGTCACCTCTTCAATAATTTACCTCCAACAGTCCGACTGCTTTGCCCAATTTGAAGGTTGAAATTGTTAGCCTCGAACATCACGTCATCGTCATCCTCGACTACTATTATCTCCTTCGAGACAGCATTATTATTCTTCTACTTTGCAAGAATCTGGTCTGCATAAGCCATCTCGCACGAAACACAGTGAAAAAAACATCAAGGAATTTTTAGTGAATAGGGCGTTCATAACTTTCTTTGTTTCCTTCTCGTGGTCCCCGTAAACTAGGCCTGTAGAAATATCATTTCACACACATTATATTTTGCAACCTTTTATTTATCTACCAGGTTTTCGAGTTTAAACTTACTTTCGTATGTGGGAACCGAAATTCACACTTGTCGATTTCCGTTAAATAAGGAAACTTAGGAAAACCCTAATTTTCCAGAGGAACCGGATCTCTGCGAAAGCCAACGACAAGTAACCAAATAAATGCGGAAAAATATGAAAAACATAGTAAAACGAATTTATAGAGAAAGTCGATCTTATTTCCGATTCGCGTAAGAGCGTTGCGATCATTACAAGGAATTACAAAGGCTTTGGCCGCAGGGGCCATCAGCGAGTTACAAACATAAAACCCTAGATCTGGTCGAGTCGCAGCTCGATAACGAAAAACGGAAAAAGATAGGAAAAAAGGTTTGAATGATTTCGGACTGAACCTTATGAAAGGCT